AAACCGACGGTGAAAGCAACGGCGCTGACAACCGGCAGGTGTTGTGTTGGGTTTTTTTTTTAAATTTTGCACCGAGTTTGAATAGGCGAAAATTTGGCGCGACAAAAACACTTGTTTTGCACAGTTTTGAATAGAAAGGATGTCCCGTTGTTTCGTGCTAGAAGCACTTGAGGGATGTTTTGTATGACTTGCGTACACACTAAGCAGCCGGTTTGAAGAACCTCAAATGGTCGAAAGGATTTTTCAAATTGGAAAAAATTCTGCCGAAATCTTAAAAGCACACTGTAAACAGTGATTGATGATTGGAACAATTAAGCACCCAATTTTTGTTTTATTTTGTAAACATTTTATCACTGTTGAGTTATTCGTGGCTTGTCCGGGATGATATTTGAACTAGTGACTTTGGCGTGAGAGGTACACAAGTCTTCAACAAAACCTCTTGAAATGCAATGATCTGCTTTGTGGAAGACATAAACTCATTACTACAAAAAGTTAGAATTTGCATGTGTTATACTGGTTTAATAATAACTCAGGTGTATATTCCAAACGATACAGAATAACATGTTAAGCAACGTCTTCGAACACACCTAACCTCAAAACCGTAAAATAGAGAGAAAAACTTTTTGATCGTCATTTTTCCGAATCGTGTCACTGTTGGCCGGAGCCGTCTGCCAGCACCCAATCAATTAGCAACGATAGTAGATTCTTCCGAATGAAATTACAAACAACTAACTCCGAGTTGTTAGGCTCTTTCGGTTAAAATCAGCTGATTGATCTTAAAAGTTTGCCGCCTTGCACCAATCTTCTGTTAATAATTAATGAAATAGCTATTTGTGTCTCTGCTAGAATTTATCACTAACCAACAACCTCATTGTTCCACTGGTTACAATTTTATGTCGGAATTTTTGGTGAAAATTTTCAATGATTTCCACATTCTGTTTCTTACACCGAAATCGAAAAGCTTCATGACAAAGTTATGATGATATTGAAAGTTGACAGTGAGGCTCACTTAAACAGTAATTGAGCCAATTTCTTCCGAATCATCAGTGGAATCCTTCATTTCCCTCCCACAGCATCAAACGATTAGAGAACTTTGTCCCATCATCGTGCCACAATTAGCACTCAATAGTAATAATTGTGCGACGACACCGCACCGTTTGAGAATCGAATATTTTATGCTGACGAAAAACAAGAAAATCACCATTCTCCTGAAACCCAAAAGCTTATGAATAATTTTCACCAAATTTTCCCACCCCACAAATTGTGCAAACAAACAAACACTCGATCACGCTGGGACGCATCATGGTCGGTGTTTCAGGAGAATCGTTTTCCGCGTAACCGGGGCGACTGACAGGAGATGATTAGTCTTTCGTGCGCGCCTCACCCAATAATGGCAGCGGTTTAAAATTCTAGACGTTTCATTAGGAAATTCGGATCATTAATTATTAATATCTTCGAGAATCGCCTCTTCTTCCAGGGACGATCCAGACAACTTGAAGTTTTTGTTTGTCTGTTTTGTGGGGGTATTAATCGACTTCAGGCGAGACCGGGCGCTTGCTGATGCTAGGCATTTAATCGTTAGCGAAATGCAAATTAACTGAGAACACAACGGACGTGATAATGGTTGGTGAATTTTTGATCCACGATAGGCCTCTTTGGGATTACCTGCAATGAGAAAAGAACCGAAGAAATCATTAGCTGTTTGGTATATTACGTTTTTTTTTTTGGGAGAAACATTGTTATTCTTAACTTAGGATTACTAGATAAGATGGATCAGACATGTTTGTTGACTGCAGACAAGAAAATTGCTAGTCAAGGTCAATGGTGAAAAGAGCAGACGCCCCTGTCAGTTTGATTGATTGCATTTTCATGTACAATCAAACGGCAAAAGGTAAGGTCAAAGTTACTGGGTTACTGTATGGGTAACGAATTGCTTGGTGGATTGCTTTGCTGTGCTTTACTGAAAATAAGTTATATTTGAACGGATGATGACAATATTGTATGGCGGCTAACGCAAAACTTGCAGGCCTCCAACATCCTTAATCCTAAGATCCCCTTCCATTCCAACCTTTTTACCAATTGTAGTCCATAGCCTACACACTATGAAATATCCATGTAAATGTCGGTGCCCTGAGACCAACATATGCAAACGACCTTATGAGATATGTTTCGGTTTTAGAACACTAAATGTTACATAACATATTTTTTATGTTCCTGAATCTATTTATACATAAAATCGAACTCAAGTTCCACAACCAGTCTAGAACCCAGGACGTTGGCTCGGATACACTATTCCACATCAGATATTGAAAATGGAATTGCTTTTTCAAATCATAAGTAAGAAAAGTGCTGCTAACTTGATTTATGATTGCTTCACACAAACATAGCATGAGCATGAGCATGATTGACCGCCCACGGCCGGCCGCGCCCGAACACAGGTCAAGAAAGGAAGGGGTAGGAATGTGTTGACGTGACACTCGCTTTGATGGATGCCGAGAACACCTCTGCACTTCCACGAGGATGGTGGGATATTGGGTAATAGGGTTGGGTTTGTAGCAGGGTTCGGTTTGGTAAACGATAAGCTGAATTGATGTCCTAACGATCATATAACGCAAAGTAGCTTGGGATTGAACCCACGGTCTCTTGCTCAGTAAGCAAAAAGGTTTGCCGTTAGGCAGACGAGCTCCTTTTCAAACATCGATTTTCTGTTATTATCATGTAGTCATGTTAACAAATAAAACGATTAACGAATCTTGAATGTGGGTGGGCTTGAGATTAGACTCATGATGTTCTGCTCAGTAAGCAAAAACAGTTGCTCTAAGGCCACCGAGCCCCTCATATCACATTATACCGTTACTCAAGTTGTTATAACTATTCAAACCCGGCACCGACGACAGCGAAAAGTTTAAATACAGCAATCTTACCACACATTTTTAATATGAAAGGACCTGGGACCGCGTTTTGCCACTGCAACCGACGATCTTTCAAATTCTAAAACTTAAAGCTACGAAAGAGTACTTAGGCCTTCATTAAGTTCCACTTTCACGCGACGTTCGATGTTTCGATTTGCTCTTTACGCATGGTTCAGGCAATCATAACAATCTATGACCGATGTGACGATTGCTTAAGCCCTGTTTAAACAAGCTATTCAAATGAATTTACGTTCTCGAATTTCACTTGGTATGTAATGAACAATGATTGCTTCACACTAACATACACATGAAAAAAATGCGCCAATAAAAACATATGAAGTGTTCGATAAAAATCGCAGGAATTTCAAGAATATTACATTTTTTTCCAATGCTCCATATAGAAGAATTGAATTTCTTTATGGAACATTTCTTATTTTCGAGGTGAAATTTTTTAAATTTTCCGGAGCTATATCCATTTGGTTTAATATTTTTATAATTTTTCATTGGTCATTTTGACTTAATAATAGATTCATCTGCTTTTATTTTATGCGTTAGAATTTGAAACTTTATTGAACTTAGTCATTGAAAAATGGAAATAGAACATTTCCCGATTTTCCTTGACAAACAGTGCATTCCACCGCTGTAAATGATCAGATTTGTGAACGTTTTATAAAGTGCATCTTTTGGCAGTTGACTTTTTGGTTGAATGTTTATAGAAAATACTAATTTTTCGTCATTTTGGGTAGCTGAATCTGCAACTAAATTCAAATATTTGAAAAAAATTAGCGTTTCCGTGCCTAAAAAAAAAAAATATTGTCTTCAGTTAGGCTTAAACCTTCTTTGCTCCAAGATAGTTGAATGCTAAGGACGATTATGGATTGATTTGGTGACATCAGTCCAATTTAAACATTTATTATCACCATGACAGATAATGGCCATTTTGTTACTCAGGAATAGCTCGATCGCACGTGATATATTGTTCGGTTGATGTGGTTGGAAACGTGTTATTAGCCAAACGTTGGGAGCTCATAGCCTAGCCAGTAAAGACACGGTATTACCAAGCCGGAGGCGGCGGGTTCGATTCCCGGTCCGGTCGAGGGAATCTTTCGGGTTCGAAATTTTCTCGACTTCCCTGGGCATAGAGTATCATTGTGCTTGCCACACAATATACAAATTCATGCATTGGTATTGGCATCGAAAGCTCTCAATTAATAACTGTGGAAGTGCATTTAGAACACTAAGTTGAGAGCACGCAATAAGCTAATATGCGCTAAGCAATAAGCTTGAAATGCGAATAAGAAGAAGAAGTATTAGCCAAACGTTCACTTTGAAATGGGGTGCATTTAAAAAAAGTAGGGTGCTATTGCGACACTTGAATAATTGGACTTCATTGTGTTTGAAAAACTTTTTTTATGTCCACCATGTATCTTCTCTGATATTTTACTGAGTTTACTAGTTACAGGATAAATGAGCAATTAGGTTGCAATTAAAAAAAAAAAAGAACGATTGGGCTGTGAAACTGCTCTAATTTTTTTTTTTAATTTGTATTAATGAAGGTCTGGGAGCGTTTTTTGACGATAGACGTCTTGCCGCACTAGAAGGACTTTCTTCGCTAGTAGATCACTAGCACCAAGACGAATTCTGCAGTAATAACTGCCCAAAACTGAGCCACCGATCACTAAGTCCCTTCTTACGGGGAGACTTTAATGCACACTCGATCACTTTGTCATCGACCGACCAAAGAAACAGACGACGTAAGTTCTGCTTCCTTCAACGTGTATTTTGTAACTGTTGTAAGTATTCCGGATACCAACGGGACCAGATTTGCTGCACACGCTTCTGGGTCAATTCCCAGTGATTCAAGCGATTATCCGATGTCTCCTTCCAATTCAAATCAGGAACCGCTTGAAGATTACTTCCAACTAGGAAGTGTCCTGGAGTCAAGACGTCAATGTCGGTGGGGTCCTCCGGAATTGGTGTGAGGGGTCGAAAGTTAAGACACATCTCGACTTGCGCCAATAAGGTCAGAAGATCTTCATAAGCTATATTGACATTACCGATCGCCTTCAGAAGGTGTGTCTTCGCCGATTAAACGACGGCCTCCCAGAGACCTCCGAAGTGTGGTGCTCGGGGCGGAATGAACTTCCACGAGATTTCGTTGGATGAACACCAGTCGAAAATTTGTTCACGATCGGAAGTTTCGACCTTCAGCATGCGGTAGATCCTGTTAAGGGCATGCGAAGCACCTTTGAAGGTAGTTGCATTGTCGGAATGGAGTTCGACGATCTTTCCTCGACGGGCGACTAGGCGACGGAGTGCAGCTAGAAAAGCAGTGGTTGTTATGTCACTAACCAGCTCAATATGGACAGCCCTGGTTGAGAAGCAGGCGAAAATTGCCACGTACACTTTCGTGGGGCCACGCTTTCGAATTGCAGACTTTACGTAGAATGGTCCACAATAATCGACACTGCACACGGAAAACGGACGCGTCGGCGAAACTCGCGATACCGGCAGATCGGCTGTGCTCTGCTGGACTAGAGTGGGCTTGGATCGGAAACAAGTGTGGCATTGGTGGTAAACGGACTTGACAAGATTTCTACCACCGAGGATCCAGAACTTCTGGCGAAGAGTGGCTAACAGGAGTTGTGGACCTACGTGCAGTAGTCTTACGTGGTAACTGCTAGCCAGCAGAGCAGCTAGTGGATGTTTGGCGGACAACGCGATTGGATATTTGATCACGTCGGACAGCGCGGCATTACGGAGACGACCACCAACGCGGAGTACCGTCTTCATCTACGAACGGTGTTAACCATTTCAGTGCTGATGACTTGGCGGCACGGTCGCCGTTTGAGAGATCTGACAGCTCCTCAGTGAAACTATCGCGCTGTGCTAAACGGCAAAGTAGTTGTTCGGCGTATTGTAGCTCGGCAGTGTTCAGTGGTAGAACGGAAGATGATTTATCTCGGACGTTCCCAGAACGATGCAGCTGTGCGCGATCCTGCAATCGCTGCAGATAGCGACCGCAGAATGCTACTACTCGTTGTAGTTTTCTGTAACGAGAGTAACGTGAAAACAAATCCTCGCAGAAGTTGGTTTGTGCAGTGGCCATTGCCACGATCGGAACCTTGCGCCCTTCTTCAGATGCCGTGGAGGAACATTCTAGATCGATGATGGTCTTTGGCCACCAACGAGATGAATTCAGGATATCCGACGGATTTAAGCCACGCGAAATGTCATCTGCGGGATTCTCGGAACCGGCGATGTGCCTCCAGTGTTCTATGTTCGTAGTGGTCTGGATCTTAGACACTCGGTTAGCAACGAATGTCTTCAATCGATTTGAAGCGGCACGTAGCCACTGTAGAACGGTACTGGAATCTGACCAGAAATTGGCGGTGGCTTTGATCTTCAACGACGCGTCGATCTTCTTGTATAATTGAGTGGCTAAATGTGCGGTGCACAACTCTAGCCTGGCGATGGAGTGGTGACTACAGAGAAAATTTCTAAAGAATTTTGAGGTGAATATAAAGATAATTTTATGGAAATTGTACATAAATTGAAATCAAAAATCTCCTCGGATTTCCCGAATTATTCGCAGAATTTCATAGGTGTTTTCAATGGAACTCCATGCTAGTTCATAACACTTCAAATGTGATTGTAAAGAGAACCATTGTAACGACCACCCAATTTCGGGTGAATTTTAAGAATAATTCCAAACAACGAATGATTTCCAAGTTAGTTTCAGAGAAAATTCTAAAGAATTTGGGATTAAATCTTAAAATGAATTCCAATGAAACTAATGAAGAATATTCTAACTATAATTCAAAACATTGTTTTCGATTAGCAAGCTGTGCTCCTTTTTGTTTTACAACGACCGGATATCAGACAAACAGTGTTTTTGCGGGATTTCTATCTGATCTGGAAAACTCAATCTATATCGCAACCACTACGCACTTGCAACCTTAGCGACTTTCTGAATACGAAGAAATTTCATGCAACTACTAGGAGCATTTTTAGAGAATTTTGAGGAGTTTGAAGCATGATTCCATGGGAATTTGAATACACTCAAGTTCTCCATCTCTTGGTGTTCTATATCTCGATATTTCTCCCTTTCTCGATGGTTTGAGCAGTCCCTTCAGATTTCCATACATTTCGTTCTCTATATCTCGAAACTCTCGCCATCTCGATCTTTCTCTGCCTAGATGGTATTGAGAAAATATTCTGTAATAAATAACCTTCCATATGGAAAAATCTAGTTTACTGGTTTTTTCACCGTTTGAATAAATGGATAGACAATTTTTGGAACTCGAAGTGCTTCAAGAACCGTACTAGTAGGCTAATGAATTACTGTTTCAAATGTCTCCCTATCTTGATGGTCCCTTAAAAATCGAGATATTGAAAGTTGACTATAGAATACTTAGAAAAAATGATTTGACCGTTATTCTGACTAGAATTTCAAAATAGTTATGTTTATAGTTATGGGAATTATAATTCTAAATAAATTTATGAAACTTTAGTGAACTCTAATAGTAGTAATTCTGAGAAGAGTTAGTAGAACAGTTTCAACACAAAATTCTATGCAATTCCTTGCAGCAAGCTAAGGCAACTCAAGAGAGTTCTACGAGAATTCAGTGGAGAATTTTGGAAAGAATTCCGGAGCTATTTACAATATTTGTTAGAAATTCGAAAATAAGGTCTGTATCCACACTGTATCCGGACACATAAAAACTTAAGTAAAACACACATTTCGCATTATATTTTAATTATAGTTGATCATTTCAGATTCATGGGATATGATTTAAAAATACATGAAATCAAATCATAGTTATTCGGTATTTGCATAAAATTTTTGAACTTTGCGCTTAACTCCATCTTGTGGCTTTGTAGAGACTCCTGGTGTCCGTCTTTGTCCAAATTTGTTGGAAGTTTGATATCTTTGATCCCTTGTTTCTTTTCAGAAAGCTTCCGCCTCATCAGAGCCCAATATCTCTCGATTGGACGTGACTCAGAAAAATTTGACGGATTCTCGCTTTTTGGTACAATATTCACTTGATTTGCTTCGTACCACGTACCACAGTTTTAGCATAATGGCATGATGCCAAATTGGGCCAGAACAAAGGGTTTTCTTTGTGGCTTTTGATGAAGGGTAGCCAAAGCAGAATAGAAAGCCAGCCCTGGAAGCTGTTTGAAATCCTCCAGGACAAAAGTTTCATCGTCCATAATAACGTATGAAAAGTTCGTCAAATATTCGCTGTCAAATTCTGTTTGTCATTGCGATTTGGAACTTTATGTTATGTACTTCATACGACTTCAGTCCCAAACGCTGTTTTAATATTTGGACAAAACCAGGTGACTTTTCTTTTTTACGAGCCACTGTTCGAACAGAGAGATTCTGGTTCTCCTTCAATATCCTCTTCACCTTTCGGTCCATGACAGCATCTAATGTCTAATGTTTATATCACTTCTTGGTTTCCTCTCGACCGTCAAAGGTTCCGAAAATGATTTGAGCACACCGTGAACATTGGATTTTTTAGGTAAATCCATTTTTTTTGCATGTTCCCGACAAGTCAGGATTTTCATTACGCCCGTACAAAAATCGCTCGCGCACGTTTTATTTCATTGCTCGCCATCTTGAACACTAAACATGGAATGTAGACACCAATCATAGTATTTTTTTTTTTTTTATTATTATAGTCACTTTAACACTCTTGGGTCATTCGTGACTTGTCCGGGGGTGAGATTTGAACTCGTGACTTTGGCGTGAGAGGTATGGATGTTAACCACTACGCCGGGGTCGCCCCCATAGTATTTTTCATCAATGACTCCCAGCGAAATTTTTCACTCCTATGCGCAATATTTCAAAAGTTACAGTGATTTGAAGGCGTCCGGATTAATGTGGATGCAGACCTTAATTTTAGAGTTAATTTCAAGAGTAACCTGAGGAGAATTCTTGCAGTATTGTGAAGAAAATGAAAGGAATTCCAAAGCGAGAGACAGTATCCAGATGAACTTCATAGATGGTTGTATGGAAATCCATGAAAAAAAATCAAAAGAGATTCTGCGAAGGTTTCCAAGGCAATTAACAAATTTATAGAATCACCGATACGAAAAAAAATTAAGATTTGAAAAATTAAAAATATTTCGAGTCTTCTGAATATTCATCATATTCGAAATGTCGGACGATTTAATAATTAAATATCTGAGACATAGAAATATTTTATGATTGATGCAGTATTTTTATCCACCACCTTAAGATTCCAACACAAACTCGAAAATCTTAGACAACAAAATTGTAGGTGATATGGGATTTAAAACAAGTTGCGGTTTTCCGAACTAAGTAAACATTTTATCAAATACTATAATCAAACAGATCGTTTCCATTCGGATTGAGACGCCCTCTTTGTATGATGCCTGGAGTTGCGTGTACTGATGTAGTCATGTTTCCAAAAACGGGATGGCACGCACTGTATTATCGGTAAAACATGACGTATGCTCAATGCTGGTTCGAAAACCTAGTTGAGTCCTGCTATGGACGTCATTCCATTTGAATACTTTAATTTTTATTTTTTTTTTATTATTATAGTCACTTTAACGCGCTTGGGTCATTCGTGACTTGTCCGAGGGTGAGATTTGAACCCGTGACTTTGGCGTGAGAGGTATGGATGCTAACCACTACGCCGAGGTCGCCCCGTCCATTTGAATAGTTTCAAGTCGTAGACTTGAACGATCAAGGAACGATACAAGGAGCTCAGTGGCCTAGTGGTGTCTGGTTTTGTTTACTGAGCAAGAAGATATTGGCAACAGCACCGTTTTTTTTCATTACAGTAAGGGTCCGATTATCTGATCACGTCTGAAGCTTAAAAAAATATCCGGAAAGTCTATGAAAAATATTAAATCGAGTTTGAGGTTTCTAACTTAAAATAAAAGCACAAGCGAATTAAGACAGGACGAATCGATTTTCTTTTTTTTGTTTTTTTCAATTTATCAATTTTCAATTTTCTATAAATTTAACTGATTCTTCTGACCGCGATGTAAAAATGAATTATCTAAAATGTAACGTAGAATTTTTCCGATATTTTTTGATTTTGAGTAGAGATTTTTTCAACCAAAAATCGAGCTTATTTTCGCACGCCGAGATTTTGGTAATTTTGCAAATTTCGAAAACATTTTATGTTAGATTTAACATATGTTCATGAAGAACTCAACAATTAATTTTTAATTTCTTCGATGTAACAGTGCTGAGAACGCTGTCCCGCAAGCGACAAAAACATTGCCTGCATCGGTTTGGTTGCAGGGCTGCAAACAGCGAAAAAAATAATATTTTGTTTTGAAAATTTTCGAAAATGCAGCTGAAATGTTGCTTAATAACATACTGCCAACCCGAAGTGATTGCATTTATTATAATGTTCAAAAGAAAAAAAAAATATAACAAAAAATACCATATTTAGAGATCCCAACAGGTGTACCCCATAAAGACATTTCAAACGTGTTGCTAAAATCACACCCTAACTGTATTTTGGTAGGGGAATTTACGTATTCTCGGCAACCTAAGCAGCGACCTTCTTTCTATAGCCTTTTTCTCTATGGAACGCACACATATGCAGTATTGGTTTGTTTAAAATATTTTGCTGCCAGCTGCTCTAACAATTTCAGTCGAAAGAATTGTCAAAAACTGTTTTGAAACACTTTTACAAAGCTCCAATCTTCTCTAGTGAGAGCGAGTATTGTCGGCAACCAGTTTTTCTTCGGCAACCGTTCCATTTGAACTGCATGCAAATCTGCTGTTCTATTATCGG